TTTAAACAACACAAGCTGGGACTGAGCAGTTTCGCCGCCAGCTTGATTCCTCTTCTCCTTGAATATCTGTGCCAAATAAGTGTCCATACGGAACATTGCATCGTCATCCATCCCATCATCTTCTTCTTCGGAGTCATCAGAGGCATCTGAATCCTCAGGAACCTCTCTGTCAACTGCCATATGGGTCACGCCAGTGACTGTTTCAGAATCATCAGCTGGATCATCGCTCTCACCAGTCTCACCCATTTCCTCATTTTCTTCTTCTTCTTCTTCCTCTTCAATAGCCAGAAGATCTTCATCATCGTCAAGGTCCTCAGAGTCTTGGTCCTCTTGATGTCTAGCCGGTTTTAGATCTTTCTTGATCACACGTAGCATTCTCAGCAGTCCATCATTTGTAACGTCTTGACAGAAGTGCTTAAAAACCTACAACAAACATATAATTGCAGTTTTTATTTAAAAATCATAAAGCTGAGACAATTGAAAATGAAGCAAAAATGATCAATTAGAAGTTCATTTTAGCATCAAGGATATAATATTCTGCTTGTGGCAAGCTTATTACCTGCTCAATGGAAGACCGCATTGGAGCTGAAGAATGTGGCAACAGAGAAAGTAATGTGTCCACGAGGACATCCATGACTGCTGGTTCTTCTTCACCGTCAGCCTCACCTTCGCCATCACTATTCAGAAGATCAGACGAGGAACCGAAAGCTTTATCACAGCATACTGAAAGTTCACTTGCAGCTTCCGAGAACTCTCCAGGATGGAGGAGTATTTGTAGCAACAGCTGAACGACTAAGTGCCTTAATGCATGATACTTACTTGCCTCAGAGGATAATCCACAATTCTTCTCCTGCCAAATAGTCACAGAATCTATGTCAGTAAGATTTCAATTTACAGTAGCATTAAAGCAAAAGCCAGTAAGAAATTTACCTCCTTTGAGAGTTTACTTTCTGTTTCTTGTAACTCTTTGACAGCCTTTTCATCTGCTTCATTCAAGGAACGGAAGAGAGAAACCGAGGGAATACTCTGCAGCGTGCTAAGGAATTTCATAAAGTAGGAAACAGGATCCTCGGGCTGCTCCAAGCCACTTTCCTTAGGCAGCGGATTCTCAATCTTTTGAGAGTTCGAGAGCAGTAGCTGAAGCTGTTCGATGCACATTTTGCAAAGAGCAGTGGGAGTAGCAGTCTTCGGCCACTTAAACTTCTCTTGCAACTCAAATGATGTAACTTCAGTGCCTAGAGAAGCCACAAATAGACCTTGAACAGCTAGAAACTTCAGGATCTGCTTTTGCACTCGTAGTTTGGCCTCTGGAGACAACTTCGCATGTTTTAGAATGCCAGGGAGAGACTCAATGACCCAGCTTTTCAGAACATCTGAGTTTCCAGTTGTTCCAACCGAATCCTTCTCCTCGTTTGAACCAATCTCAGAATTATCGTCTGTTGTTTGACTCTGATCAGAATTGAGAGAGGAAGGCTCTAGAGCCCATTTCATACTCGAAGGCTCCTCAGGAACATGCTGCTCATCCACAAACAAGTTCATCAAGTTCTGGAGGAAAAGTGTGCAACCTTCTTCAGTTTCAAAATCAGCAGCTAGATTTTTAACAGTTTTCGTACGAGTAATATTGTCAAATTTCCCTTCACTGTGTTTCTGCAGAGCCATTGTAACAGCCACTCTCTTGGTATCATCATCCTTCACCCAATCTACCAACTCCGTGAGAAAATGAGTTGCAACTTTATGCAGCCAAGAGTCCTTTGTAGAGAGTATATCCATGAGGCACTGAACAAATTTGAACGATAAGAAGTATTGGACGAAACTTGCAGGAAGCTTTGGGAGAAGAAGAAGGAGGATATCAAATGCCAAATTTTTGCGATCATGAGATGAAGAAAGCAGTGTTCCTTCCATAAAAGTTTCGCAGAAACTCCGGATGTTATTTGTGGCTTCTTCTTCTACGGGACTAGACTTGCGGTTTCGCTTTTGCTTTTTGGAGGAACTAGGAGCCGATGAGACATCTTCGGTTTGAACAACAGCTTCAGGCAACAGCATGTCACGAATGACAAACCATAAGGTATGAACACGAGGCTGGCAGAAAGTAGATTCCTGAAATTTATTTCACAACAGAAACAATCTCAATATCTTAACATGTTCAACCATTTCTCAACCGCAAAAAAAGATTGGTAATATACCTTCAAGCAATCACCAATGACAGAGAGATGATCAGCAGAAAAAAACTTCCCGGAACTGAAAGGAACCGGTAGAAGCTTGCCAAAGACAGGGTGATCAACTGAAATCTTGTCATGAAGCTTGAGCGCTAGAAGCAAAGCATCAGGGTTTCCAACCTCGGTGGCTTGTTCAAACCACTTATGAAGCTCTGGAGCTTCCATAACATGAGTCACAACAGCGTCAACAGGCAGCTGTACAATAACAAAATAGAATCATAAGAAGACTTTAAAACACGTACCAAATGGTATCTATCACAAGAAATGAACCTATCATACCTTGTCAACAAAGTCTAGAAGAGCATGAACACCTGGTTCCTGCAAGTAACGTTTCTTCGCAGCAAGACCAATGAGAGCATTAGTAAACTCTTTAACAATCTGAGAGTCTTTATCAGACTTCCACTCTTCAACTAGTCTCCCAGATCTTGCTATCGCACCATAAGCAAACAACCGCCCCAATAAGCATTCTTTCACATCCTGTGACAAATTACAAAATCAAAGCATTTGAATCAATATAACAAAACTTCATCATCATAAAACTTTTTTATTGAGAACTAGAGACTTTGCAAAGACTAGACATTAACTAACAGATTATTGATTTATTTTAAAATTTTATATAAGATAATTTGAGTTTAATTATAAAGTTGTTCTGATAAATTATCAAAATGAGATAAACACAACAAAAGAAATTAGACAAATTTGTGGATTTGTAATAACAGCATTGCTTAATTTAATAGAATTGGACTAATGTTCAAACTGATTTGAATCGTATAAATCTGATATTAAGTTAATCGTTTCAGACAGAAGCCTAGCCATTTCTACAACCGTCATAAAAACAAGAAAAGGATAAAACAGCAACTTACTTGCCCCTTCATGGACGAAGAAACAGACAAAGAATCAGAAATGAGTTTCAGTAACGACTCCACATTAATACTAGAGATCAAACTAACAGGTAACGTCAACCCCAACGCAAACCCTTGTCTCGCACACTGTCACAATAAAAAAAAAAACATTACACAAAAACACAGTAATTGATAAAAAAAAAAAAGTTAAAACATCTTTGACCATGATTAAATATGGTTCTAAGAAAAAGCTAAGAACTACTCTTGAATAAAAGATATAAGAGCCATCTCTTAGACAAAAGTCTCTAGTCTCTTAGAAAATGTCCACTTAAATAAAAGATATAAGAGCCATCTCTTAGACAAAAATCTCTAGTCTCTTAAAAAATGTCCACTTAAATAATTGATATAAGAGCCATATAGACAAAAGTCTCTAGTCTCTTAAAAAATGTCCAGACTAAGAGACCTAAATAAAAAATATTAGAGCCCATCCATTAGACAAAAGTCTCTAGTCTCTTAACAAAATGTCCGGACTAAGAGACCAGAGTTAATCATTCTCTTTAAAAATGTCGGGACTAAGAGACGGGAGTTAATCATGCACTTATGGATATTAAAAACCAAAATATATATATACCTCTCTAGAAGAAGAGACACCACGAATAAGCCTCCGTAAAGCGTATCTAAGATGCGGCGCGCAGTTATCCAAACCATCGTTCTTCTCAGCTTCAAGCATCAATCCTCCGTCAATAGTTTCCTTATCAGGTAAAGACTCGTATTGTTTCTGAATCTCTTGTAGCCTCTTCACAAGGGAGGTCGCTGCTGCTTCTCTAATTAAAGAATCAGGAGAAGCTAAATCCCTAAAGTAGCTTAGAGGAAGCTCCGGTAACGAAGAGACGGCGGCGTCGGAGTTCGAATCGGAAGTAGCAGGAGGAAGAGGAGGGGGTTTTGGTTTGTCGAGAGCCGCTGCGCGTTTTCGTTCTTTGTCGGAAGCTTTTCGCTTCTTCTGTAACTCCATGTCTACACGGGAACACGCGGCGCCGCTGGGAGTGTCGTCGTTGGTCTTGTCGTGTTTGGATTTTTTGTTCTTCTTCTTGAGGAAGGAATCTGTGTGGTTGTTGTTGTTCTCGAAGACATCGTCGGATGAATCGGCGCTGGTTCTCTTCTTGCTACCCATTGATTTGATGAAACTGAGAAGCCGCGGTTTGTGGAGAAAGGGTAAAGCTTTAAAAAGATGGGAGGAAGGAGAAATTAAATGCAAAACCCTAATCGGCGGATTTGGAGGATCCGACCCGGTTTGAGTCAAGGGTTTTAGGGTTTAGGAGCCCACTCTGTTAATATTAATAAATACTAATATAATATGCTACTTTTATTTTTGTCACTATGTATAATACTCCCTACGTTTCAAATTATATGTCATTCTAGAGTACAATTTTCGTTTCAAAATAAATGTCGTTTTATAATTTCAATGCAAAATTTATTGATTTTAAATGTTATTCTATTTTTTCATTGGTTGAAAAGTGGTTAGGTGTATAGGTAGTTGTGTTTTTATTTTGAAAATATGTAAAATTAATTATCTTCTTAATCTGTGTGTAAAACTCTAGAATGACATATAATTTGAAACGGAGGGAGTATATACTGTACCTTTACATGTCCGAAAGAAAATGGTAATTCGTCGCCGGTAATCTATTTTTATTTTCTGCTAGTAAATTAATTTTTACACATTTATTAGTCCATTAACATATAGATATCAGACATAAGTATATTTTCTTCTATAATGAATTAGACAAAATTTAAAATTTATTTTACATGGTGGTAATAAATTCTTGATTACGTAGGCCATCATTAACAAATCTCTTAACCGTCAGTTGCAATTGGGATTATGAGATGTTTTGTATCAAGCTTTACTAAACCAATCGAGAAAGCTTTAGTTATTCTCAGTTTTATTATCCATAATGCATTATTCGATTAAAGAAGGGAAAATAACCCAAAGTTCTTACAAACGAAAAACACAAAAGACTTCAAAGTTGCAGAGCATCTGGTTGTTTTTTTTTCTGAGGACAATCAAATTCTCAGCATATCACAGCTGAATGAATAGTTTCGTAGATAAAAATGCAAATAAAAGAAAAGAAACATGAGCCTTGACCACTGATCAGGCACCAATGGTGGAAGCAGAGTTCTTCCTGCACTCAGACAACATGTCCATGTAGAACTGACACCTGCTAATGTCGCTTCCATAGCTGCTCACGCACTACAACAATATCAACAGTAGCAAAAACAAAATCAGTGACATTGCCATTGTTAATGATGAATACAAGGATGTATGCACTTAAAGAATCTTGACAAACAAGTGAGAATAAGAGTGAGCACTACTCACATCTTGGAAAGCCTTAGCATGAAGGTCACAGGAGCTAGACAACATGCTGCCTGCAGCAGGAGTAGCAGCAGGAGCAGAGGAAGCAGTCTCAACACCTTCATGCTGAATAGTTCGTGGACCCATCACAGCATCAACAGCCCTATGCGCAACAGCGCTTCCCGTTCCAAAAGCCATACCTAAATTCCCCCAAAAATTAAAAATAAAAGTCAACAGAAAAGCATTTTAAAACCCAAAAAAAAAAAAACAAATCTAAACTCATAAATACCTTGAGCAATGGTTGAACCAATGCCTGAGAGCATGCCACCACCACCACTAGCCTGAGCTGCTGGTGCTGGAGGAGGTGCACGGTTTACTGCAAAAACAAACATTCATGAATGTGAATTTTGATTGGACTGAATATTCATAACCAATAATAGAGTAACAATTAGGGTTTGTTTTACCAGTTTGAGGAGGAGGGCTGCGTGCAGCAGCAGGACGGGGACGTGGTGCAGATCTTCCTGCAAACAAACAAAACAAACAAACAAACCATAAATCAAATCTCCTCCTCTACTATCTATAAATTAACAAATCAAATCGAGAAATGAACAAAATAAGCCGTCCATCTAAACTAGATTAAGTGGTGGTCAGACAATCCGATTCTTCTAGCAGATTTTAGTATCCGATCAACACAAATGTCAGAGAAGGTCAACAAAATCGAATAAAAACCCTAGCTAGGCTATAAAAAATCCAGATTTAACAACACTACAGTTCCGTTATCATCCAAAGGCATAGGAACGAATAGATCTGAAGAATATGGAGAGAGATGAGAAGCGTTGCTTACCTCCTGAGCTACGGCGACCCATTTTTTGTTTAAGTGACTGGAGAGATGTCCACGAAAATGATAAAATTGATGAGAGTTTTACAACAATTCTGGAGGCGGTTGTTGTTTATATATATGGTGGTGAGGAAACAGAACAGGTCAAAGACCACGCAGATTGTACACGTGTGTGATTGTTATTGGTTGAAAGTTGATAATTTCTAGAACAGACCAAAGTAGGGCTTGCTTATCTTCTTTGACTAAGCATGTTCACACACATTAGTATATAATTTTGGGCTTTGTTACAAGTCAGGTCCAATAGAGTTTTTCTTTAATTTGAAAAAGATTGTTCACACATCGGTGTCTTCTCTTGTAGGAAAATGATACATTTCACACAAAAATTACAAACTCAGATTCTCTTTATACATACAAAAGTTGTAATCTAAAGAAACATTAAAGGCTTCATCTTGAAAGGTTATTGCTTGTTTATGATGCATCAAACTCCACCTCTGATTCTGACTTGGTTTATCTCCATGGAATATCTTCTTCATCTTTTTGTACAATGACTCGAACAAAACCAAACGTAGAAGAGTACACAACATACCAATGTTCAGACTGAACAAAACACTCTCTAAGACTCTAGACTGAACATACCAATGTCTACACCAACAAAATCAGACTTTTCGTTTTCATGCCAGGCTTGCCAGCTCGTTTCGATACATGAAATCTTAGTTGCGTTATTAGTTAGATTACTAACTGTGACTAAATCAGTGTTTAGAATCTTATTATTACATCTTGTACTTGTACTCTTGTTTTTTTTTGCCACACAGACCAATTTTGAGAACGAGCAAAACAAACGTAGACTACAACATACCATTGTTCAACTGAACATAACACTCTAGATAGACACCAACATTTTCTGACTTTTCGTTTTCATGATAGCTCGTTTCTTTACATGAAATCTTAGTTTCGTTTCAATTAATTAGATTACTAACTGTGAGTAGATCAGAGTGATAGGAGTGCTTACAATCTTATTATTTCATCTTGTACTGTACAGAAAACCATTTTGAGAACGTGAGGCTATACTGGAGTTTAAGAGTTTCACAAAACCATAAGTGGAACTCTGCTGAGAGCCTTTGATTTTGGAACTTTAAAAACTAAATTTTCTACCACTTAGGAGGCTGAATTAAATGCCAGTCAAGTTCAACGCGACTGTGTGCGCGAGCAAGTTTCAGTATTGCAAAGCTAAAATCTACTGTTTGTTCTCAAGATTGCAATGATTTTCTACAACATAGTTCATGGGATCAGCAATGGCTCCTGCTGTAGCTCCTCCATTCAATCAAATCTCAATTCAATGTGGTAATATGTGTGATAAAAAGGAACAGTTCTTAAGAGAAATCATCAGACTTACTCTGTCAAAGTACTTAAACTGAAATGATGTTGTACAAGAGTTCAAAAGATCCAAACCAAAAGAAGATAGATTAAACAAAAGTACTTAACAAGAAACAAGTTTAAGCTCATTTATTCTTTTTGTTTTCTGTATGGCAAAAACAGTGTTGTTCTAGTTTAGGTTGTATCTTTTGGACAGTGAGGTTTCACCTTTAAGGATGAATGCATGAAGGAGGTTTTGAGCAGCCTGGGTTTGATCAGGTGTCCCTGATATGACAATGATCCTGTCACTTGTTCCTAGTTGAGGTTCATGGACTATGACCCTCGCACCCGATATCTGATTAATAAAACATCAAATGGTATAAGCTATGCTTCAGCGGTTAGCTCAACTAACGGGGTGCTATTTCATGTTTATGGCACTATCACACTAACGCTTTGGTTTGTAGCTTATCATCTCAGACTATATATAGCTAAACGGGGATTCAGTTTTTCAAATTTCAACCGATTCTGTAATTTTGAATCCAGAACTAAAGAAAAAAAGTATGAAGTTTTCGTGACTCTTGACCTAGATTAATGGTGGACGAATGATTTGCACCCTACTTGTATAGATTTTGTTTTTGCATGGTTTCATTTCTATTTGTTATTCAGCGGTTATTATAGTTTCTGGTTTATGATTTCAGGGACTAAAAATTAAACCGTGGAAACCTAAACCTGTGGTTGCCTAACCTCTTTAGGATGATGCTGGGATTCAGGATAAACCGTGGAAACTAAAACCTGTGGTTGCCTAACCTCCCTAGAATGACACTATTGTACAACCAAGAAAAGATTAGTAAGCAAAAATTTGACTTACCTGTCTCAGTTGCTCCAGATTGTAGCCATGCTCGCCATACACAAAGCTCATAGCATTTTCTGGAACTCTAATTTCTACAGTTGTGTTTGTAACCATCGCAGATTTGTGTCCACTGGAAAAGACCAAGCCAGTTTGTAAATTACAAGAAGATCAGAACAATAATTTCACATAATTGTCTACAACAGTTGGGCTTTTACCTGCCAAGAACATGGCTTGGGCGTGCAGAAGATAATCCACCACTAGCATCGGATAAACCTCTTAGAGCTGCCGGTGGCTGCATAAAGGTTATCTATATCAGCTACGGAAATTAAAATACACGCACAAATTCTGTCTTTGTTAACTTCGGGACTGTATGTGTAAGGGCCTAAGGGGGAGAATTAATCCTCTAAATCCCTCAGTGAGCAACAACAACAACATATTCACTAGAAAGTAGAGAATGGGAAAATACATAGGGATGGAGACATACCGGAGAGGCCCACATACGAGATGCAGTTTCAGTTAAGTGATGGGAGATATCATTGTGGTCTAAAGTGGACCGCCGACTAAAATTAGGAGAATAGTCAGGTAATGGATGAAATCTATCAGGAACCGGGTCTTCTGGTCGTTTGTAAGGATCTGTGCCAGCAGGTCTCGAATAGTTAACTGATGAAAGAGAGCCACTTAGGAAGGAATCATCAGATCTTCTGTGCAGATTTGTAGAGATGGTAGGTGGATGACCAAAGGACTGATGAGACCCAATAGACAGAGGATTATCTGATTGTCCGTGGTGGATTCTCTCTGTAGTTAAGGTGGAGTTGCTCTCGGTAACGGAACTTTTCTTCGAGTTAGAGAAAAGACTGTCTCGAAGCCTGCTCGTAACGTGGAAAATGGCTTCTCTTACATTGGGGAACTCTCCTGTAATCTATTTGCCAATAAAGAATGAGTTTATGATAGACAACTTAAGAAAAATGATGTTTTTAAAACGAACAACATGAAAACTGCATTCCACAATATTACCAAGTCAAAAAAGTCAACATGTGATCTAAGTACCTGCACAACTTGATCATTCTCTGAAATGCATTTTGGATTCTGCTCAGCCTTCAAAATTTGAATGGCAGCCCCCGTGGCTTTCCGCATTTCCGAAACTACCACACCTCCTTTTCCCAGCAAACAGCCAATTTGACTTGTTGGGACCACAAGCCGTGCAGTTATAGACATCCTTGAGCCATTGTCTAGGCTTTTTTTAGTGGCAAGCTCGAATAGTCTAGTAAAAACAAGGAGTATAGCTTTCTGGCTTGGCGAGGTTTGACGTTCAGGGCTCTACATGTGAAGAAAACAATTATCAAACACGAATAGTAGATAGATAGAATAATAACACAAAAGCATCCATGAAAATGGAAAGAGATAAAAAAATAAGAACAACCTCTGGTGCAGTAGCTGTAATTAAACGTTCTTCACAATCAGCAACTGTATTCCCCACACTTATTAAGGCACCAGACTCGATATGAAGGGTCTTTATAATTTTACCCCCTGTTCCTATAACTCCTCCGGCATTCTCAATGGAACAAAGTATCTTAAAAACCACATCTTGGTTCTCTGCTCCCACTTCTGATTGATGTGGTTTCAAGACGGCAGCTTTACTCATTAGAGCAGAGGTAGTAATGCTGTGAGGATGTGTCTCCTGAGTGGAACTACGATGAGCAAGAAAATCTCCACTTGGCCGATGAAGAGTTTCTTGTGGGATTGTTTCAATAGTCCTTCTAAAACCATCACGTGGAAACGACTCAAAAGGCATGCCCACCATAGCATCACGCTGAAGCATCTCGTAAGATCTATGCAAGGAATCATGAGAATTATCCACCTCTCTGTGCTGTCGGAAAACATCTCCCCTGACACCATCAGAAGGCCTGTACAAGACTTCTCTAGGACCCATATCAATATGCCTGCGTAAAGCATCTTGCCGTTCCGCCTCAATCTGCCTGCGTAAAGCATCTTGACGGTCCTCTTCAAAATGCCTGCGCAAAGCACCCTGAGAAACCCTCTCTTCAATATGCCTATGATGCAAAGCATCATGAGGAATCACATCACTGGAACGAGCTAAAGTGCCCCGAGGAAACATATCAGCTGCTCTTGGTCTATAATCATAATCTTCAACAGACCTACGAAGCAGAGACTCCTGAATAATTGTTTCTAAGGGCCTATGCGAAGATTCTTCAATGGTCTCTTTCTCAAGAGGTCTGTTTCCCACCACCCTTATCTTCTTAATATCTTGGCAATCTTGCAAGCACCGTGAAACAGATACAAGTGCTTTCTTCACAGCATTAACATTACCTTCAATCTGCCATATAATAGTTGACTCAATGTGAGAAAAAACACACAATACAATCTGCAAAAACAAGCACATTGCTACATACCAAGCTTTCAAGCTCACAACTCCACCATAAACTAAACCATGGTTCTAAAAATTGGTCTAGGCGGTTAGTTGTTAACTCAGTCCTATCCGAAACGATTTTCTTAAAATCCGATTTATGCAATTCAAATCGGTTAAACTATTCTAAATTGGTTTAAATCAATTTAATGTTGCCTAAATTTATTAAATTAAAAATTAATTAGTACAAATCAATGTTCTAAAAATCGCTAAGCGGCTGTTAAGCATTTTTATAAAGGATTATTGGTTAGACGTACGCCTAGGCCGATTTTTTTAACACCGGTTTTAAAAAATCATTTCGCTCATACTCGGTTTGCCGACTAGGCACCGCCTATACTGATTTTTAGAACACTGGTACAAATCCACATATTTGAATAATTTCTTTGTTAAAGCCTAGGCCTCATCTAGACTCCGAATAATCAACCTAGTCACTAGTCCTCTACAAAGCGCCTAGTTACCGACTAGCGATTTCTTGAACATTGAACTAAGCTTAAACAAGATAATCAGCCTAGTCTCTAATCCTCTACAAATCTCTTAGTTACTGACTAGCGATTTCTTGAACTGAACTTTGACCTAAGCTTAAACAAGAGAATCAGCCTAGTCACTAGCCCTCTACAAATCTCTTAGTTACCGACTAGCGATTTCTTGAACATTGAACTAAGCTTAAACAAGAGAATCATCCTCTACGAATCTCTTAGTTACCGACTAGCGATTTCTTGAACTTTGAACTAAGCTTAAACAAGAGAATCATCCTCTACGAATCTATTAGGTACCGACTAGCGATTTCTTGAACTTTGAACTAAGCTTAAACAAAAGAATCAGCCTAGTCACTGGTCCTCTACAAATCTCTTAGTTACCGACTAACGATTTCTTGAACATTGATCTTAAGCTAAAACAAGAATCATTACCTCCACCATCTCATCATCACTCTCAGCGCAAATAGGCAAATTCTCAGTCCTTATAGCAATCTTGCAACCAGTTTCTTTCCTAATACGCCCCACCATCTGTCCACCCTTCCCTATAACCGCACCGGCATGACTAGACTCCGTCAACAAACGGCACACAACCGTACTGCTCCCCGCCTCAACCGCCAAAATCTCGAAAACGCGAATCAACGCAGCTTGTGCCTTGGATACCTCAACTTCCTCATCCTCTGTACTGTTCCCATTGCTATCACCTAGTTTTAACCTAGAAGTTGAATCCACTTGCGCTATGATCGTTATGACCCGATCCGGGGACCCGAACGGAGGCTCCTCGACGCGGATCTTAGCTCCCGTTGACTGTTGGAGCTGTTTGATCACGGTTCCGGATTTTCCGATCACCGCGCCGACTTGTGATAAGGCGCTGAGTAATCGGAACGACGCGTGTCCCACGGGGACGACAAGTGGCGAGAGGAGATGCGCGTGGTGTGTTTTGGTCTTTTTGGAAGATCCGAATCCTGAACCCGCTGGATCTACGGCTCTGGATCTCTTCTCGGTTGAATAGTGAAAGCTGTTTCGCTCCATGACTTCTCTATTTCTCTCTCTCTCTCCTTCTCTACAACCTTGTCACGGCGGTTTCCGGCGGATTATCGAGGAAAGTCTTTAAAACAGTCTTTAACGCTTATATGCTAACTTGCGCCGAATAATTGGCTTAACCGACACCGTTTAAATTTGTGCGCAGATAGGTTGCCTAACCGACACCGTTTAATATGTGAGCTGATAAGTTACTTAACGACGCCGTTTGATATCTAGATTGTTTATGCTTCTAAATATCAAACGCCGTCAGACAAAATGTAACGTTTCTCTACAACCTACTTGTCACGGCGGTTCCCGGCGGATTAACGAGAAAAGTCTTTAAAACAGTCTCTAACGCTTATATGCTAACCTGCGCCGAATAAGTGGCTTAAACGACACCGTTTAAATTTGTGCGCCGAATTTGTGGCTTAAACGCACCTTTTTAATATGTGAGCCGAATAAGTTACTTAAATGGTGCCGTTTGATAAAGTTTTTTATATTTCGTGCTACAGTGATTTTTTTTTTTTTTTTGAACACTACAGTGAACATCTAATATTGATTGGTTTATGCTACAATGAACAAGATCTATGCTTCAACAGTGTTATGTTACAATGAACAAGATCTATGCTTCAACAGTGTTATGCTACAATGAACAAGATCTATGCTTCAACAGTGTTATGTTACAATGAACAAGATTCGAGACTGATGTATGTTTTAAACACATGTAAAGGATATATCCCTCGCTATATCTTCACAAGCATCTCATGGATTTGCGTTTTTCCTCCACATGAAACGAAGCAGACGCATCTTTTCAAACTTCATAGCCAGGATTCACAGTCTGTTGCACATCTCCATAGCTCTCAAGCTCAGTAACATCCTCTACGCTTCCAAGAAACAGAGGCAATCTCTGGTGAAGCTTCACTGGCTGTATAGAAAGTATCTCTCTTTTCCCATCAGAGGCTTTGCCACCAGCTTGTTCCACTAGATAAGCCAAAGGGTTTCCTTCATAGACTAAACGGAGATGGTCTCTTGGATTCATAGCCACTCCTCCGTATAACAAAGTCCTGTGAAGATCAGCCACTAGAGAACAAATGTAACGTGCTGAGTATTTCTTTGGGTTTTGGCCTTTCCCTTGGCGTACTGTATCAATGTATTTCCTCAGACCTTCTGGCCAGTCGAAGTACCTCGCATCGTTCACTGAGTAGATTTGTCCTGAGAGCAATGGTCAAGGCAGATTCTTTTAGACACATGATTAAGGATGTTGCAATTAGGCATGTGCACATTTATTCAAAAACTGAAGAATCGAACCACACTGAACCAAAACAATCGAAACTGAACCAAAATTCAAAATAACCGCACGGATCTTATACTTTTGGAACCGAAACCAAACTGAAACCGAACCCGAAAAAACCCAAACTGGGAACCGAATGGGTGCCCAAATTTTTAAAATACATATTATACCCAAAATATAATTATATTTAGTTTCTAAATAATCAAATATCCTAAAATACTATTTATAAACCGAAATACTTGAAAACCCGAATATTTGTGTACCCAAAATATTTAAAATATCCGAATTGTCTGATATTTTTCTCTAAATTATCCGATATTTAACCTGAAAACCCTGAATTATCCGACATTTTAACCGATATTATATGAATTTACCAACAAAACCGGAACCAAACCAGATTGAATCCAATATTTTCGGACATTAGCTAGTTCCCAACTTTGCTACCCGAATCTAACCAAACACCAAAATAACCAAACCGAAACCGATCCAAATTTTGAAAATAACCGAACAGTAGAACTGAAAAACCGAAAACCAAAATATCTTAACCGAAACCGAAAACCAAACAACCAAGCCTAGTTGCAATGGATCAGTCTGAAAACAGTTTTTACCTCGAGTAGGGATCTTAATATTCTGATGCGTAAGAACGAACTCGCCAGTAGAATGATCAAGCGTGAAGGCATGTGCACCAGAGCCAAGAGTAACACAAAGTATCGTAGCTGAAGAGTACAGAACGTAACCTGAAGCTACAAGCCTGTTACCTCTCTGCAGAGAATTGAGCTCAGCTTTCTCTGCAACAGGTAAATGATCAAGCTCAACTAGTCGATTATAAACCCCAAATATAGTCCCAGTAGGTATCGAAGCATCGATGTTACGTGAACCATCTAAAGGATCTACAACCACAACGTAAGGACCATCATCTTTGATCCAAGTGGGAGTATCGTCTTCTTCTGATGCCATTACTGCCACTTTCCCTGAGTTTCTGAGAGATGACAAGATGATACCGTTCTGAAAAAAAAACATTAACTGTAAGAGTGTGTCTAACAATAAAGATGGTTAAGAGAGATACATACAGAGACAATATCGAGCGGTTTGGGTGCGTCACGGTCTGAGCCAGTAGAGGAGGAGTTAACAGAGAGCTTTCCAAGTGAAGAGTTGTAAGGAGAAGAGACAAGAGAAGCTATTCTTTTGCAAGCGTGTTGTAAGTGGTAAAGTAACACCACAAGATCATCTCCTACATTTGCACCTTCTCTCCCTATAATCCAAAAAAAAAAAAATACTAACAACTTAAGAAACAGAATTAAGCCAAAAAAAAAAAAAAAAAACTTAAGAAACAGAATACTAAAACTTTAAATAAAAAAAAATCAATCTTTACCTTTTTGTCTCACTGAGAGAGTTTTGCAAGGCCTATCTTACTCAATTAAGCACGTTTTAAATGCATAGATCGACATAGAACGCGAACATTAAGACAGGTTTGTAATTTCGTTCAGACAGAGTAGTTTAATTTTACCTGCAAAGTCTACGAGAGTACAGTATCCATCACCATCATCACCACTGGTCGAAGTCTGATGAGTGGCTAGGGACTTAAACGAAGCAGAATCACCGCGTGACGCCATACCGCGACGGTTGTTTCCGACGGTTGGAGGAGAGAGAACAGAAGGTAGAGTTTGTCTTAACGGGTAAAGTTTGAGTCTTGACGGGGAAACTGAAGTTGGGTACAGAGTTAGAGTGAGAGATTGCATTATTTTTCTGAGTTCAGAGCATTCACGAAACTCTTCAGTCTCATCTTGATACGGTTCAAGCAATCTACAGCATCATTTTCCGGTTAGTTTTGGAATTGGGTTCCGGTTTTGTTCTTAACCGGTTCGGTTAAGAGAGTAAAGGAAAGGCCTTTTGGCGTCAATAATATTCCGGTTAGTTTTGTTCTTAACCGGTTCAGTTACAACAGTAAAGAAAAGGCCTTAGAGCACCCGCAACCACAAATCCTTAGGAGAAATCCTTAAGGAAATATTAATTTTATAATCAGTAGGTCCCATAAACAGTTAAGAATTCTATCTTTAAAATCCTTATTTAAAGATTAATCCTTATACTATTAACGGGTTCCATTGCTCACGTGGCGGTCCGTGAATGGTCAGTTTTTATTTTTTTAAGAAAAAATCTGAAATATCCTTATATAATCCGAAATGCCCATTTTTCTTTTTTCTTAAGGATTCCTCCTAAGGACCCGTGGTTGCGGGTGCTCTTAGGCATCAACAACTTTATTGATAAAAACAGAGGAACCAAACAGATTCTGTTACTGTTACAAAGTTACTTCATTTGAAGACTCACAGATTTAAGTAACTTTTTTTTTTACTTATGAAGAATTCTTGTGGAGCATTGGGTCAGAGACAACTTGAGGCTTAAAGTCTAGCTTTATGTACTTATCCAAAAGATCAGCATAAACTTCATATCTTGCAGTCATTCTAAATCCCCATTTGTCTTTATACTGCCTGCAGAGATTGAGATCCATGTCCGAGATCAATAACCCATCTCTGCAACGCGACAAAGACGGCGTGCAAGAAGCATCAGGTGCAGAGAAATAGCTTGATCCATAGAAATGACCAAAGTCATTATGCTGCGGTTTGCCATCTCCTGAAGTGAAAGCATTTGGGAACACTTCGGTTCCAACTCTGTTAATAGATCCCACAAAGTAACTGTTCGCTATCGCAGCGTTTCTTGCCTGAACAGATATTGAAATGTTTCAGACAATGTTTGTCATTAGATAGAAAAGCTTTTTTAAAAAGTATTAGAAGTTTAAAAACCTCAATAGGCCACATTGGTTCACTGAGTTCACCAACAGTAGCTGAAGGGTTGAAGACAATCTCAGCACCGTTTAGACCAAAAGCTAACCAGTTTAGAGGATGGTGTCTTCCGTAACATATATTGACTGCTATTTTCCCAAACACTGTCTCGAACACAGGATGGCCAGTGTCTCCTTCCATGTAATACGTGCTCTCGTTGAAATCTCCTACCCTTGGTATATGGTTCTGTCACACCAAGCAATACAATTTAGCTCACAACAAGAACGGTCCTAGACCATGCTAAGTGAAACATTTGCAACAGAACCCCAATTTTTTTTAAAGAAAACTACATAGGCTAGGCTCCCAAATTTATAAAAAAAAAAGTAAAATTTAATTGAAATATTTAATAAATCGTCTATGACTCCCTAAATCTCAGGCCGGAGTCACAAGATAAATGGCATGTAGAGTGGTGCATGTCTAGTGTTTTACCTTCCTATGCTTGCCAATGATGTTACCGTTGTTCCCTATGATCACAGCAGTGTTCCAAAGTACTTCACCGTGATCCATGTCTCTTTCGAGGATAGGACTTACAATCACCATGTTGTACTTTTTGGCTAGTTTTTGAAGAAACTTTGTTGATTCACCATCAACAGGCTCTGCGAATTCACACCATTTCTTCTCTCTTGTACAGAATGCAAACGGCATAGTCCAAGCTTCCTATCCATTGAACCACTTCAAAGTTACAAAACGCGCTATGTTCTAAAACTCGTTCGGCGGTGGTTAAGCGTGATTATTGTTTAGGCGGTGTTAAGCGTATTATAGAGGATTATTGTTTAGGCGGGCGCGTAGACCGATTTTTTGAATGTGTATAGGCAGGCGCCTAAGCACCACCTAAACCGATTTTTAAAACATTGCAACTAACTTATAAAGGAAACCAAATGGAGGCAAAACCTGTAAGCAGAGTATGTTAACACCAGCAACACCTGCAGCGTCGATCATCGGCTTTAACTTCTCGAATATTCCTTTTTTCTGGTCGGAGAAAGGAGCAGTGGTTGGAAGAGCAATGGAGTTTTGAATGAGACCAACTCTGACAACTCGTGGCTTTCTCATTTGCTCTTCATCAGCTGAAAAGCTAACCGCCTAGAAAAGTAATTAGTCCAGAGATCACATCAAAACTTGATCCAATAGTATATAGTAGAGGAAGTAAACGAGTATAAACCTGGAGATCAAAAGCATGTTTTGAAGAGAGGGCTTTAGCAGAATCTGACAAAACAATCTGTTCAAGCGATCTACCACAGTTACTTCCAAGTAGCAATCTGCTTACCTCCTGCATAATCAAAGGATCCTTTTTTCATAAGTAAAGACTACAAATCCAACATTTGAATTGGTGGCTAATCAAGAAACGTGAATTTTAGTAAACGTAAAACCAAGAATCCAAAAGAGTAACTAGTTTCACCTGATAGAGCTCAGGCTTGAGATTTGTGGATAAGAGTTGGTGTAACGAATCATATCCACGGATCGAACCGTCGGCAACTGTTTCTCCGTTTTCAGAGATGCTCTTATCCATTTTTACAAGAGTTTTCTGAAATTGTCTTTCTGTCGATCACGAAACTAATATGGCAGATGTGATGTCAATAATGATCGGATTATTAGGCTATTTTTTAATTGGGAAGGAAAAAATTAGCCTAATCATTCAATGGCAAGATAAGTACTAATTAAAATAAGGAATCTACTCAACTAAAACATCTTTCCATTAGGTGAAGACCAATGTGTTCTTTCTTTTCTTTTTCACTGTAAGATTATATTCAACACATGAACCAAGAATTACAACTGAACTGATACAAACCCGGCGAGTTTGAAAAAACTAGAACATTGCTAATTTGCTAGTATATCTGTTATTAATCATTTCTTATGAACACCAATTATGTTACAAAAAAAAAAAAAAACAATTCATTAATTAATGAGATTAGCTAGTTATGCGATACGTTAACATGTCCAAACCGGTCTCTTACGGAAAATTTCGCTTCCCGGTCTGAAGCGTATCTCGTAAAATAACCAGCCGAACCGGAGAATCACGGTTTCAAACTAATGGGCCGTGTTGCTTATGAGGCCCAGTGGCACATTCATTCAAAGGTTAATTAATGAAAACCGGTTCAAAGCGTATCTCAGAGAATAGCCAACCAAACCGGAAGAATCACGGTTTAATGCTCTAACAAAAATTTCAGATCAACGGCATATCGCATCAAAGGAGAAAGAGACGGAGGGGGAGATATGGTAGGCGGCGGAGCTAGCGGTCGTGGCGGAAACAAAGCCGAGGCGAATCAATTCCTCGCAACATCCGAGAAGCTTCTCGCATCTAACGACTTCAAAGAAGCCAAAACATTCGCGATCCGCGCATGCAAATCCGACCCGACCCTAGCGGAAGCAGCGGACTCCATCCTCACAATCTGCGACGTCCTCATAGCCAGAGAGACTCCTCTAGGCGACTCAAACTTACCAGACTGGTACGCCGCGCTACGACTCGGTCGGTTAGCTCAGAACCCCGAACACGTGGCGACTCAGTACCGTAGGCTCGCTCTCCTCCTCAATCCTTCCGTTAATCGCTTCCCTTTAGCCGACCAGGCGTTTAAATTCGTCTCACGTGCCTGGCACGTGCTCTCTGATCCGTTTAAAAAGTCGTTATACGATCAAGAGGTTCAACTTGCTCAACAACCTCAACAATATTTCAAATGGAAACCTAACCAACAGCCGTCGCCGCCTTCTGTTGCCGCTCCGCGGGCCCCACGGAGTGATTTTATGGCGGCGACGAGCTTTTGGACTGCTTGTCCGTACTGTTTTGTACTCTTTGAGTACCCTAAGGTTTATGAGGAATGTGTTTTGAGGTGTCAAGAGTGTAGGAGAGCGTTTCAAGCTGTGAGGATAGAGAAGCCTCCTGTGGTGGAGGAGGAGGAAGGGAAGGGAGAGGAGGTTTGCTTCTGCTCGTGGAGTGTGTTTCCGTTAGGGTTTTCCGGGGAGTTTAAAGCTCCGACGAGCTGGTCACCTATTTCACCTCTCATTGCATGCCCTCCCACCACCAAGAAGAGAAAAGAACCTGCTCCTCCAAGATTCTTTTATGATGATGATGATATATACGTTGCTATTTCTGATGATGATCATGAAGGAAATGACGGTAGTGATGATTTACAAGCGAATGGTGGGAAAGGGAAAGAAAAAGTTGTGAGAACTAACAAGAAACATGGAGCAGAGAAGGGAATCCAAAATGTAGAAAGTGTCAGTGGTGCTACTCGTGTTGGTTCCTCGTCTATGTCTAAAGAAATGAGTAGTAGGATGAGAATGGGAACTGGAGCTAAGAATTTAGGAAGGTTGGATTTGAATGTGGAGTTCAGTAATGAAGTGGAAGACGGGAGAAATGAAGGCAATGGGGTGGGAAGTAACAGGGAGGTGGATAATATGGAAGGGATTGGGTTCTTTGAGGATCTTGATGAGTTCTTGAGTAGTTTGCCGATATTTTCTGTCGATGGAGATGATAAGATCAAGGCTACTTAGTGAAGTAAGACTCTCTTTTTTCTCTCTCTCTTGTTTTAGGTTTCAGTGGTTCTGTTGTTGTGGTTGGTGAAGGCCTTAGTTTTTTTATGTCTCTGTATTGATGTCTAATTGTAGTGGAGATATTAGCCATTTTATTTCTTGGATATGGAATCCATGTAGTTGGAATCTGTTGATGTATATGGCACAAAATTCTTACTTTTTCTAACCTTCATGTACACAAATCGGCATCGTAACAAGGAACATCTTTTATTTGATTGTGCTGGGCTTTTGAGTTCTGATTAAGGCATTCAGATTTCTTTTTAGGATTAGAGGATGCAACATGATTTGCTAAGTGTGCCTTCATGATAACACATACTCAGCTCCGGTTTGTTTTTGCTGCACTCTTTCAACCAAAAAGCTACAGTATGAAGTATAGGTGGTGAAAAATAAGTAATACTATACTGAAATCTGTGTTTTCGTGGCTACCGCTTGTCTTTGTTTCTGTACATTCACTGGATAAGTTTTTTGTGTTATTTCCTTTCTGGGCCAACAGAGTAAAATGCAATGGCAGGAACACGTTTGTAGCTTCGTTCATCCGAAGTTTTTTTACAAGAAAGTCTAGCCAGGGTATATGCTAAAACCTTAATGGCTTTGTAGGGACGCTTCTTTTGTAGTCTCTGTAGGTATTCTTACAAATGTTAGAGCTCTCACTTACCTGTAAACTGTAACGAGAGTCTGCAAGAAGATGCGAAAGCTATTCAACCAATGCTGTATTGTTATTTGGCTTTTATAAGCTCTGGCTTAACTGCAGTAAAGGACTAAAGGTAAAGGTTCATTGTTGATGTATAAACTTGTTCAAGCTATAGTAGAATGTAGAACTTCATTTCTAACTCCTTGATTTTTTTTCAGTGATTGAACTGTTCAGGCTGTAACCCTTCCCGTGCTATCTATTGTTTCTTAATTATTATGATGAAGACAGGTTGGTAGTTTTTGGAAAATCAAAGACATGCCGAATAACCAGGTTCCTCTGTTGTGCTCTCTTCTTACCATGTATTTTTCCAGAGTGCAAAAGAAGTTTTTTCATAGTTTCTTACGTATTGACACAATGTTGTTCAAGATTATAGCTACAGATCTAGCTTGAATGATTCCAGAGTCAACTAACAAGCAGTTATAATGTTTACGTGCTTAACTCTAATTTGTGAAGTTTAGTTTTTATGGCTGATTTTACAAATTTTATAAATCTAACATGGGGATCTCCGTCCAACTAATTTAATTTCCACAAGAAAAGAATATGTTTCGTGCGAGAAAGCAGCCTTTGAAAGGAAATTGATAGAGAGACGTTTTTTTATGTTTTATGACAGGGTGTTGGTCAACGGTCAAGGCGTACATGGAGATCTCCGTTTTTGTTGGAGAAGATGAGATCTATTTTTGGATCCGACAGGTGAACTACCAGACAACTCAAAAGTCCATCTGTTTTGTTTTATCCTGTCCTTTTTTATTGTCTTTAATTTCCCTAAACATCTAAATCTCCCTAATACACCTCAACTGGTTTTATTCAGCTGCATTTCTCATCAATGGCAGTCGTTTCTTCAATCATGTCCACTTCAGTGGATCCTTCTTCCTCAGGAGTCTGTGTTACTCACAATACATCGAAGGTTAATTTATTTCTGTATGTGTAAATATATTACACAGAGTTGTTTAGCATGCATATCTCTTTACTCTTGTATCTATACTTTTTCTACAGATCTTTGGTAACAATGCAAATCAGAAGCCGACCTATCTTAGACTCTGTACCTCGTCAAGGTAATTTCTTCATATTTTTCAGACTTACAACTCTACTAGTGCAGAGATAGGGTGAACTGATGTATACGAAAATGTAGAAAATAATAATGCACGTTAGAAAACAGTATCAATTATAGGCCAACGATGCATTGCAGTAGTAGACTATTAGTATATTGCTGATTGGAATTTCCTTATCTAAATCTGGCTTGAATCTTACAGAAGATATGCCAAGTTGAGAGTAGCAGCTTCCATTTCGAAGGTGCCACTTAAGCTTACGCGTGAAGAAAAACACCAGGATCATGTGACTTCGCCAGATAGAGGAAATGACGTGTTTGAAGAAATGAAGCAACGGTTCCTGACCTTTAAGAAAGACAAATACATGTAAGTTGCTGAAGTAAAAACATCGTTTTTAATTTCTTTGGTTTTTACATATTATGCCTGTTTTTGTAATGGTTTGATTGTTTATGCCAAAAAAAGGGATAACTTGGAGCGGTTTCAGAGTCTTGCCAAGAGCCAATCCCCAAAGGTGAGAACTTAGCACCTCTATTACTCTACACTTTTATACGTGACCATGTATCTGACATTTCAGAGGCCAGTTTATGGTGATAGCTTGTGCAGATTCAAGGGTTTGTCCTTCTCAAATTTTGGGTTTCCAACCAGGAGAAGCATTTACCGTTCGTAACATTGCAAATATTGTACCCACTTACGAGGTCCGTGTTGTTAGCCTTTTACTTAACCATGTATGTTTACTGTGATGCTGAAACAAGAAAACATAAACTTATGCTTTTGTGTAGAGTGGTCCATCTGAAACAAAGGCCGCACTGGAGTTTGCTGTAAATTCTCTTCAAGTAAGCATTAATTATGAAGAGACTAATTACACTCATGATCATGCAGTAGCGATTTGGCATATGATCCGTAAGTGATTGTAAAATTTGTTTGCAGGTGGAGAACATTCTTGTGGTTGGGCATAGTCGATGTGGAGGCATCCGTGCATTAATGACCATGGATGATGACGAAACAGAACAAGACATAGACTCAAGGTTTCACCCAAATTTTCATTACTTTTTCATCATATCCTAACAATACACATTCATCATCATCTGCATTGTTTCTTTTCCCAGGAGCTTCATCAAGAACTGGGTCGTTATTGGGAAAACCGCAAGATCAATCTCGAAGTCAGCTGCTTCAGAACTCAGCTTTGATCAACAGTGTCAGCATTGTGAAAAGGTAAACCAAGCCTTTCGTTATTGCATTAACACACGGGTCGTAATAGATTTCATTTTTACACTTGTAGGAATCTGTGAACTGCTCGCTGAGGAATCTATTGTCGTATCCGTGGATAGAAGAGAGAGTGAAGAAGGGGACTTTAACAATCCATGGTGGTTACTACGACTTCACTGAGTGCACGTTCGAGAAATGGACGGTGGATTATAATAAGGAAAGAAGCTGTCTCGAGAGGAAACTCGCGGTTAAGGATCGGTCCATCTGGAGTTAACATGGTTTATGTGAGACACAACTGATCAGAGTAAAGATTGAGTTTGGTTTGGTTTTGAGATTGAAATTTCGGTTGGTTTGGTTCGATTTCGTTTTTTACTTTTAATACGCTGGTATTGGCATTTTTTTAACGGTCTGTCCTCACGTTGCTGAGATCATCTCCAACAAAAAAAAAGATATAATTTTGTCACATTTAATTAATTAATTATAAGATCGTGAAACTTGTCAAATACTATATAACTAGGTGTTTTGCCCGCACATGCGGCCATAATTTTCATATAATTTACTATTAATCTATATTTTATTAATTCAAACCAAAATAATAAGTTATGATTTATGTTTTAAATTAATTAAATGATAACACTCACATAATAAAATATTTTTAAAAAATATATTTTTACAAATGTGTTTCTTTAATTTATTTTAATTATAATTTTTTCTATCTTAATTTTTTATTTCTATAATAAAAAATATATTTTCAAAATAACAATATAATACATAAGAAGTATCTTATTTTATCAAAATATAATTTTTCATAGAAATTCGTTTTTACTCTATAATAAATTTTATATGAAATTATTAAAATATGACAAATAATCAAAATTATCTAAATCATGGAGAAATTACAAATCGGATAATTCACTTAAACTTTCTAATAGAAAATATATGTTCAAGATAACAATCTAATAGATAAGAATTATCTTTTTTTTTTAAATCTAGTATTATTATATACATTCATTTTATTATTTAATAAATTATATATGAAATTATTAAAATATGATAAATAAGCAAAGTATAAAACCATGGAGATATTGATAAATCAGTATTGCTTTTTTTATATTTAACTACTAATATTTTAACTTAATTTTGATTTCTATGATAAAAATATATTTTTAAGATAACAATATAATACATAAGAATTATCTTATTTTCTAAAAGTATAATATTATTAATAGAAATTCGTTTTAATTATTAATAATATAATTTTTTATATATAAATTTTAGAAAAATATTAAATTATGAATATAAATTCGTTTTAATTATATTTAAATACTAAGTTATTAATATAATTTCGTTGTAGATAAATATAATAGTGTTTATATCTTAATTTAAAATTGAAGTTTTATATATAAAAATATATTTCAAGATAACAACAAAATTCATAAGAATTATCTTATTTTAAAAAATATAAGAGTATTAATATAAATTCGTTTTTATTAAATAATAAATTTTATATGAAATTATTTAAATAAGATAAATAAAAAAATTTACCTAAAATCAAGGAGAAATTGACAACTAAACAAGTTTACTTCTTAAATAATAGTATAGATATAATTTTAGTATGATTTTGTTTTTGTCCAAAAAAAAAAGTTTGATTTTGTTAAGGAAATTATTTGGGCAAATTATTCGATTATGAAGTTAACCACCGTTCTGAGAATAAAGAATGGGCTGATTTTTCCAGATTGGGCTTTAAAGTATTATACGGCCCAGAACCGAAACAGTACAAATACGAAAGAAGAAGAACGCTAGGCATAAGCATCTTCTGATTCGAAGCAGCGAGAGAGCGAAGAATAAGATTAAGCTAAGCGATGGGCGTGGAGAAGCAAGTCATCAGACCCGGCACTGGTGCCAAACCCGCTTCGGGTCAAACCGTCACCGTCCACTGCACCGGATTCGGTAACCTCTCTATTTTCTCTTCCTCATCGTTGAAACTTGAAATTCCCATGTATCGATTGCGAAAAAATCAATCCATCGACGGTCTTTCTTAGCTGAATAGATTTGTGATCTGGTAGCCGCGTGAGTGTTTTTGATTTCTTATTGGATAAAATTTATTTCGGTAGGGTTTATGTTCTTTGAGATCGCTTGATTAACTAATAATCCAATCCCTCTGTTTCAATTTAACTGTCTTAAAAATTTCTAGTTTTATGATTTCTGCAAAATTTATTTATTTTATTTTTTATTGGTTGAAATGTGGTTAGATTATAGGGTAATGGTGATGTTTTTATTTTGAAAATATGCAAAATCAAATGTTTTTGTGCATAAGCCTAAAACAAAAACTAAAATGAAACTGATTGAGTAATATTTAACAGTTTATTAGTTTGTGATTGAAACTCTATATATACACTTTGATAATCCTTTTGTGAGTTTTATTTCAGAGTTGTAATTTATTATGTTTTTGTTTGTTTGTTTTGTTTCAGGGAAAGGTGGTGATCTTTCCAAGCAGTTCTGGAGGTAAAAGCATCCTCTTGCCATACTATTAAATATGGTTTGGTGTTTAGAAAGTCTTGTTAGTTTTGTCTTAAATGTGTGTTTTGGACTTTTGGTATATATATAATAGTACAAAGGACGCTGGGCAAAAACCTTTCTCCTTCCAGATCGGTAAAGGTGCTGTGATCAAAGGTAATCATCTTCTTTCCTCTCTTTCCTTCATGGTTTCATCGTATCATATGTAACTGTATGAGTTTCTGTTTGCCATTTCTTGGGAGTGTTAACGTGAATTTTAATTGTATTTGCTTACAGGATGGGATGAAGGCGTTATGGGAATGCAAATTGGAGAGGTTGCTCGCTTGCGGGTATGTTAGACTACTCCTCTAACTCATCATGAAAAAAACATATTTGATTGCTTAATGAGTTATAAAGCTTTGCGTCTGTCTTGAAAGCATGTTCTTATCTTTAAGGATTTTGTTATTTTGAGCTTGTTGCAGTAGAAACCCTTCGTGTGTGGAGGAATGTATTTGGTGGTATTTAAACATCTTCTGTTAATGCAGTGCTCACCGGATTACGCATATGGTGCTGGTGGGTTTCCGGCGTGGGGAATCCAGCCAAACTCGGTTCTCGATTTTGAAATCGAAGTACTCAGCGTGCAGTGATGCTCTCTCTCTATGATGTGACAAAAAAAACCTACGTTAAATTATTAAGTGGTTGTAACCCTTTTATCGTATTGCTTCCGGGATCTTGTTTGAAACAAAACTTTGTCGTGTCACTCCTGTCAGTGCTCTGCTAAAACTCTTTATCTAAAATAAAAGATCCGTCTCTTGTTTCAGTCCAAATGTTGTATGTTTTGTTCCAGTTACCATGAGACTATTATTTAGGCGTGTGACTTTAAACCGAACGGTCCGAGTCCAAATTTTCGGTTTTTGGTTTGGTTTCAGTTTTGAATTCAGTTTAGTTTGGAATAATTCTGAAAAGTAATTTGGTTTTCAGTTTGGTTTGGTTTTTGATTTTCAAAAAAAAAAATTAAAAAATCGAAAATAACGAACCGAATTAAATTGAAAATATCCGAACTTATCCGAAATAACCGAAAATATCTGTTTTTTTTAGAAAATTATACCGAAATTAACCAAAAATCAATAAATCGATTATTTTCGGAAATAATTTTGAAAACCGAAATTAACTGATAACCAAACCAAAATTTTATTCGATTAATTTCAGAATAGGTTTCAAAATTTCGGGTTAACCGAAATCCGACGGTCCGGTTCGGTTTCGGAAAACCAAAGTCGCAGACCTACTATTATTATTGTAGATCGACTTCGTCTGCTCTACCACTGAGCTAAGACGGCATCTTATACTTTTAAAACCAGTATTTAGGATGTTTACTCATAACAACGTTTCAAATCAATGTTTCTCACTTAAATGGTTTTAAGAAAAATGCCAATAATAATAACAATCAGTATATAAATAATCTGTTAGTGATAACCATGATGAAATGTTGAATTCAACATTTGCTAAAACAGTAGTTACTATTCTTAATATCAAATCAAAGGAGAAAAAAAGAAAAGACCAAGGCTACAAACTTTTTCAGACAAAGATATGTAAGCTAAACAAAAAGAAAAGGATACAAGTCGTGCGGGTAATTAAGCAGCACTTAAAATTCCTTCCCGTGCATTTCTTTAATCATCACTTATGACTCCTTTTTCTTCTTTCTTTTTTTCTTTTTCCATTTTCTCTTTTTCTTTTCACCCACATTCCCCAATCACATTCGACTTTTTATAATAACAATAACAATATATTAAAAATAAATGAAAGTCTACAGAATATTAATAAAACAAAAGGTAATGAGCTATATATGGCGTTGCATATAAGCTAGATGCTCAAATTGCAAATTAAAATAATAAAAAAGTAGTTTACTTTTATTCTTTTTCCACCACAATGGGTGTTTGAAAATACAACACGCACCTGAACACAATAATATAGGGTTAATAAAAGAAAATAAAAGCTTGAGCACACTTTCACTAACTTAGCTTTCACTGAAAATTTCTAAAAGAGAAAAGAAAACCTTTTACTTTAACGAATAAATCAACAAAGTAATTTATATTAAATGATAAAAAAAAGGATGATAAAACCTGAAATTATGGACCGTGAGACTTTGTCATGATATAATACCATAATTACGTATATACACGTTCGGCCCCCTTGTCTCCATTACTTTCAAGCAAAGCACCAATAACACCATTTGCTTCTGTTTTAATTACTACAAGATTAGTTTCCAAGTAACATTTCTTCTTTTATTTCTTTCATATAAAATCGAAACTATCATTTCTTTCACCTCAAACTCACACACTATGTAATAATTCACATAAATTCATATTTATAACTTTATACAAAACATACTTCCACAAATACCAAAAAATATATGTTATTACCAAACCGAACCAAAGAGAAGGTAAACCATAAGGTGAGGGGGTAATCTGGTAAACAAATAAACGATGTAAAGGGTAAAACCGTCATAAAATCATTTTATAAAGCCTTTGTTTACTTACCATTGTTGCCACTTAAATAACAGTTTCGTAAAAAAAGCAAAAAAAAAAAAAGTTTCTACGGTGCTTTCACATTATAGCTGCTCGTTGGTCACTTTCATCTCTCTCTCTCTCTCACTCTTATCCCTTTGCTTTTTCCATTGATTCATCATCTCTCATCGTTCTCTCTGGATCTGAGCGAAACTTCCTTCCCTCTCTGTTTCATCTCTTCAAGGTATCAAATCTTCTCTCTCTGCTTCACTGTCTTTCTCTGTTTGTGTAATCTGGTAATTACGGTTAAAAACGGTTTAAATCCTTAATGGTTTGGTTAGTTTCTGTAGTCTTAGGTTCGAATCTCGCTTAGAACATTATGTCTTGTCTATATTCTGAACTAAGATTGTAAATTGAATCCCTGAAGCTACTATATACACTTGCTAGATGTTTAGAGTTTTCACTAGAATTGTGTTATTATGATTCTCTGTTCTTTTTACAAGTGTTGTGATTTTTGGTGTTGATGAGAGATGTTTCCTTGTGCACAGATAACCCTCTCAAAAACATAGATTGAGAATATTATAAGCAAGTGGATGATAAAAGATCAATTAGTGTATTAAGAGGAGAAAAAGAGAAACAGCATGTGTTGGTTCACTGTATACCGCAAAGTTGTGCGCTTGAATCTTTACTGCCGTGTCATTCTGTAAAAAAAAAAAAAAATTCTTCTTCCTTTTTTAACCAACTCTCCCCAGTAGTCTAAAATCTTCTTATTCTCTCTTTTAAAAAAAAAAGAAAAAATGGGATCCCAACATTTCTATGTGTATCATTGTGAACAAAGAATCAGCTAAGCTCCTTCCTTCCTTCACAAGAAAAGGTTTCTTCTTCGGGTTGGTTTCTTTCTGGTTTTTTCATTCAAGGTTTTCCTCAGAGTTATGGTGTGTCAGTCCCCTGGTAAGACAAGATTTCGAGCATTGAAATACGAGACAGGTGACGCTGACAGACCAGCTATTGTTGTCAGAGTTATTGCATGCTTTCAACCTATGGATAATTGCCAGGTCCTTAATGCTCTCTCTCATTTTATCACACTTTTAAAAATTATAACAGTCTTTACTCTTCTAACATTTATGATTGTTGTGGTTTCAGGCTGAATACTTCAGACTTCTTCTCAAACCAGTGACGTAGTTAGTCTCTGATTCCCCGCTGTATTTTTGTTTGTTCTTTGCCTCTTCGTTCTTTCTTTCACTACTTATTCAAAAGGGTAACCAGAAGTATTGCATTCACCTGATTGAGCAACTTAACAATCGGTACACCAACTTAATTTTTACTCACTACTCTTATTGAACTATCTTTCATGAGCTGATTTTTTTAACTTTTGCTTTGGTTCTGCAGTGTTTGTACTCTTTAAAGTTACCTAACTACAAGAGCATGCCTCTTGATACAAGGCAACGAGATTTGCCTCCTCAACCTTGCTTTGAGGATATAACAGCTCCTGGAATCCCTCTCCTTGAGCTTCAGGCTCGCTGTTTCCAGCCACCGCCATTCCAGTCTCTTCTGTGGAGTCATGATAAGGAGTCTTGTGGAAAACGATTCTCTATTTCTGGCATGAGGTCTTGGTGTGCTGCTGCTGCTGCTGCTACTACTACTACTCCATTAGAGTCTTCTCAGAAAGGACTTATGATATTCGATCAATCAGGAAACCAGACTCGTCTACTACGATGTCCATTCCCCTTACGGTTTCCATCTCTAGCTGCTGCAGAGCCGGTGAAACTCTCTGAGTTCCAACACGGTCTTGACAAAGGTTTCAGTGAAGATCATGTTACTCTGAAGGAGTTTGATGAGAACTGTGTAAATGGAAAAGAGTCGGAAATGCATGAAGACACTGAGGAGATCAACGCATTGCTCTATTCAGATGATGATTATGAAGAAGATGATGATGATTGTGAGAGTGATGATGATGAAGTAATGAGCACTGGTCACTCTCCTTATCAAGTTTGCAACAAAAGAGCGTTGGAAGAAATAGATAGTCCTTGTAAAAGGCAGAAACTACTAGTGGATAAGGTTGATAACATCAGTGGCTCATCATCATCATCATCACTTGTGAGCTCCACAAAGCTCCCTGAATCAAACATCTCGACCAAAGAAGACACTGGTTCTGGTCTAAGCAACGAGCAGTCAAGAAAAGACAAGATCCGCACAGCTCTGAAAATACTCGAGAGCATAGTTCCAGGTGCAAAAGGAAACGAAGCTCTCTCACTTCTAGACGAAGCCATTGATTACCTGAAGCTACTGAAACGTGACTTAATCTCTACAGAGATTAAGAACCAATGCTAAAACAAAAAACCCACACCACAACATGGGGAACAAGAAAATCTACAGACAAATCAGGCTTGAAGATTCTCACGTGTGAAGTGGTTTAAGGTACCGTATCCTCTGCAACCAGCTTTTTAGCTGTATATAGTGGACTACTTTAGGTAAATATATATTTATGCTTCTGCAATTTCAAAAAGTTAAAGAAGAAAAAGAAAGCTCAAAAGTCATCATGGTCATTGATCGACAATGATTATCTTTTGGTGGCTTAGTGTGTGGATGGTGAAATCAAAAGGCAATATTCAAAGTCTTCATCTCTCAAACTCGCGTGGTCTATGAATCTCATCCCCCTAAGGTAATAATGATAAATAAAAATCTCTGACCCACACTCTCTTTTGTCTATATGATGACTAAAGTGGGTCCTTTGGTTTTTTATGAGTTGATGTCATGTTCATGTAATAAATTTTAGTGTCTGTAATAATGCAAACCACTCCTTTGTTCTTTTGCTTCCCCACTTGCTACTCTTGTTTTTGTTGTTGTTGTTGTGCATTTGAGTCTCTGTTCATTGTTCATGTTCTCTTCTGTGTCTATGTATTGTATGTATTGTATCAAGATGATTGTATTTTGTCGTTTGGGTTTTGTAATTTACCAATGTTATAAAATTTGGTCTTTGTTTGTGTAACATAAGGGCATCCTCAAAGGGAGAGCATTAAGGTGTGTGCTTAGAGTGAAAATAGTAGTAAAATAATGTATTTAGGTTAGGAACAAGGGACATCCTCAAAGAGAGATCACTTGTTAAGGGTGTGCTTAACAAAAAAAAAATTAATTTTCTTCCAATCACCAACTGCCACGTCGCCCAGGAACAAGGCTTAGAACTGATCTTGTTCAAGCACTATTAAACTGATCTTAGCCCACTTTTGAATTCTTTCCAATTAAAATAAGCCCAAGCACACTCTAAGTGTTCCCCCTTTGAACATGGCCTAAGGCTAGGTCTAGGATTTTGAACCGAACCTAACCCTAAACCGAAATTTTGGTTAGTTTAGTTAGAAGTTCGGTTAAATTTGGTAGGTTTTCTAAAAAATACTGGTTTTTGATTTGGTTCAGTAATCAGTTACTTCAGAGTTTTTTTCCGTTAAAGATAAGTATATCCAATCTAAACCAACCACATTTTTAACCAAAATTAACCGAATTTATCTAATATTTTAAACTGAAATAAAAAACTTCAGTAAGATTTTGAAAAACCAAACTAATCGTATATCAAACCGAACTTTACTTTAGGTTAATTTGGTAAGATTTATGTTAAACCGAGCTAACCAAAAACCGAACTAACCGAACCGCAAGCCTAGAATAAACATCAATTTTTTTAAGTCACTTATTCCATATTAGAAAATTCCAAAATCAATAGCAGTACAAACTAGGATCAAAGAATCAAATCAAGAACACACAAAGTTGCTCTCACTTATGTTTTAATAACTTTCTCAAGAAATTGAGTTCCTCCATCGTCTTGGTTTCCTCGTAGGTTGATGATCAACACCAGCGTGTTCTCCTCCCACCATATCTTGACTCTCATGTCCACTCATCTTAGTCAACTTACTAAGCTTCTTCCAACCACTGCTCCAAGCCGAAGACGACGTGTTCTTCACTTTCCCTGTCTTCTCAAACTGTCTTTGCATCACTTCCATCTCATTCTGAAGCTCAACATACTTTGTCTTCACAGTCTCTAACTCGAATTTCAACGTGTTGATATCCTTCTTAGCCGCAGCCCACCCTTCCTGTATTTATGAAAAAAAACCTTCATAACCAACAAAGAGTTTGCAATATGAATTTTGATCAAGTCCTCCTCTTACTTGCCTGAAAAGATTGTGGTGTAGCTTCGATCAATGTCTTACGATTTGGGATCATTGGTTGATAAGTAGTACCCATTGCTTCCCCCAACGTAGTTGACTCCTTGAGTGATGTGTTGGCTAAGGCGTTACTGATCTTGACTTGCTCCGAGAAGAGAACTTGAACCACCACACGTAATGGTAACCTCTCGTTCTGAGCAGCGTGCATGCATGCGTCCATTGATAGCTTTTGACAGTCCATCACTCTGCATAGACGCTTCCTCTCGTGTTCCGACAATGTCGGATGCGCCTATCGTTCAAAACCAAACAAGATCAAACTATCAATGAACAATGTAATACAAAAAGAAGCTTTATTTAAGTTATTCGGTTCGGCAAGTTTGGTTTTTGGTTAGTTCGGTTCAACATAAATCTTCCGAATTAATCTAAAATAAAATTCGGTTTGGTTTACTCTTTGGTTAAACAATGTAATACAAAAATAAGCTTTATTTAGGTTATTCAGTTCGACAACTTCGGTTTTTGGTTAGTTCGGTTCAACATAAATCTTCCGAATTAATCTAAAATAAAATTTGGTTTGGTTTACTCTTTGGTTAATTTAGTTTTTGAAAATCCTATCAAAATTTTTGTTTTCGCTTATATTTTTGTTTAATTTTTTATTTTTTTTTATAAGTTAAATTAAATTTGGTTATTTTGGTTTGAAGTTTAGTTCCATTCAGATTTTAGTATCGTTAGGTTATAAGTTGTTATTTAAAGACGAAGTAACCAAAAACCAAACCAAACCAAAATTTTTAAACCTATCAAATCAAACCGAAAGTTCGGTTCAGACAAAAGTTCTCAGGGTCTAAGGACCGTTACCTTGAGATATGAATCAATTGCTCTGTATAGCCCATCATCACAACTCCTAGCAGATTCCGGCAAAGCCTCAGCCAAAACCTGAAACTTAGTCAACGGCAAGTTCCTATCTCTAGCAACTTCCGTAAGATAACTATCCACAAGCCTCGCCACTCTCATCTTCGCATTCTGATTACCATTACCACCACCACCACCACCACCACTGATACTATTCGCTCTCGGGATCCCAGCATCAGCATACGGAGACATCATCCTACTCGGACTCGACCCTTCCGTCTGCTCCTGAACAAGAAAATGCTCCAACAGCCTCTGAACAAGATCAACATCATACATAGTCTCTCCCTTATTGTTGTAACTCGGAATCAGAAGATCTTGCAAAGTAGCTTGCTCGAACTGCATCCCGACGCGTTTCTCCAGCTCGGTGATCAGCGCGGGAGCTACTTTTAGCATGTTTGCTGATCTGAGGAGACGGAGGAGGAAAGTGCAAGTGACGGAGTCTTTCTGTGGAGGGATGATGCTGATCAAAGATTCGACGATCATTCTTTGGTCTTTGGAGGTGATTCCGTGTCCTGCAAGGGAGGAAGTGATGTTGTCTTGGTGGCTGTTTGGTTTTCCGGAGAGGACCATGTGGAGACCGCCTCTCCAGTCTGGTCCGGAGCTTCCTCCTCCTCCGCTGCTGCTGTTGTTGCTTCCGCAGCTTACGCTTTCGTCTGGAGAGCTTTCTTTGATCAGACCTGGTAGCCATTTTCCTGCGTAGTGCATTATTGATGCTCCGAGGAGTTCATATCTCATGCCTTTTACCTGTTTTCAATAAATGTTAAAAAAACCGTTACTACCAATTAACAGAGTATTCAGTGACAAAATATCTTAACAAATTATTGATTTATTTTATATTTATATAAAAGCCAAAACTAGATATATAAACAAATAAAAGATGTGAACTAACATTATTACTTAATCTGACATATTTTAATTAATTTAGATCGATTTAGAATGATTTCAACTGATTTAAACTGATTATAAAAAAGCCAAATCGATTTAAATTGTATAAATCAGATTTTAATAAATTTATGATCAATATAATTGTGTTATTACCATATTTAAAAAGTTTACAAAAATATAAATCAACATTAAATATGATTATTCATGTCATATTTTACCATAAGTCATATCATCAATTTTAATAGTCATGTCACATTTTTTTGTGAAATTGATTGTAGAAATAACATGTGGCAAAACCACTTCGCAAATATATATAAGAGATGTGAGATATTTTAATTAGTTTAGATCCATTTACAATGACTTTAACTGATTTCAACCGGTTTAAACTGATTTTAAAAGAAATCTAAACCGATTTGAATTGTATAAATCTGATTTTAATAAAAATTATGACCAATATGCTGCTTAAGTAGGCACTTAGGCACAGCTTAAATCCACTTTTAAAACCATAGTCTCAACTCTCAAGGTTAAGAGTTGGAAGATGTACACCAAAATGTTTGAAAGAGAAGTATACTATGTACCTTGATTGCAGTGATGACACGAACGAAGTGATCGATTCTCAAGATAGATACATCTTCAAACCACCAATCTGGAGGAACAGGCTGGTTGTTTCTACTCGGGCTAGAATAGAAACCAGAGTCCTTTGGTTCTTTCCATTTCGGACTAGAACTCGCAAAGTTATTAGTAGTTGATGGAGATGGTGACTTCCCTGTGTAAGCCCATTTAATCCCTTTTGGATTACTACAAGCCTTCCAAGCAATAGACTCACTACATCTCCTCACAATCTGAAGATTCTCAGCCCATGGTGAGAGCTTCTCACAGCTCTTTAACACCAAGATCGAGTCTCTCCATGAAGACAGAACCACGTAGCTGAGAAAGGCTTCTGTCTTGAAGATTAGATTCCCTTCTTCAAGATCCTCTGTCATTTCGAGATACTCAGCTGCGCAACGTAGACCTGATATGTTAGTTGCCGTGAGATCCACGGGAACTCCGTAGCAGAATTTTGAAGCGAGCTCAAACGCTTCTGGTCCTCCAGGTAAATCGTCAAGAATGAGTATGGTTGGGTCAGGGTCTCGTGACTCGTAGATTAATCTGTTCATCTTCCCGCTACGTGACAGCAACGGATACTAAAGAACAAGAAACATAAACATATCAAATCCATAAAACTTCTTGAAATTTATGATATTGACTCAAGTGGTTTTTTTTTTTTTTTACCTTGTGTAGGTGAAAGTTCATGTCTCCTATTTTAATCAGAAGATCACTGGGGATATCTGTAGCAACAAACCTAATCAAAGCAAAAAGGTTTTATAACTTCATTAACAAGGAAAGATGTTTTTTGAAGTTTTAGGACATTACCAAGATTGGCCTCTAAGCTCAAACCCATCAGTTTTGACGCCGGCATGTTTGTTAGAACTCAAAACTCCATTACCATACTCTCTTCCTCCTCCTCCTACAACCCCGGAGTCACTCTCAGATTCCCACATCATTCACAAACTGTTTGTGGTAGAAGCAAAAAGAAGGTACTAGAGAGGGGGGAGAAGATTGAAGTGGAAAGAGTGTGAAATAAACAGTTCCAAGAAAGGAGAGATTGATTAGTTTTGGATTATAAAGATGAAAGAGAAAGAAGAGCTTATTTATCCCCACATGGGATGCTATTAGATTTGGAGCTTTCTCTGAATTGTCTATTTTCTCAGAGAGAATTTAAAACCAAAGTCTCTGATATGTGTATCTACAGGCTGTGAAGTAATGGGCTTTGTAACACTCTGCTTCTCAATTATCATATACTATAATTAGCACTCTGCCCATTCTTATCTTATAAATCAAGAGTGTATCTGTCTTTTTTAGATTTTACAAAGAATAATTGAATTACTGACAATTGTTACATGTTTTTCAGTGAAGAGATCAGACTCTTCAGAGGAGAAAAAACAAAACAAAATACTATATGATTCGGTTTTATAAAAGTTATAAATAAAAAAATAAAAAATGGGAGGGGCAAAGTTGGAGAGTGAGTGTCATTAAACTATGATAAAGCCTTTTTTCTTCTTCTTTGCCTGCCTGTTTTTAATGTTGTTGAATCATATATCTATGCTCATTCTTTCTTCTTTGAGGCTTTCATATGGGTCCATGCATTTCCCTAATGTTCTCTTCTCAT